GTTTTCCAATGGTTCTCTAACTGAGATGTCAGCTCATGATGAAATCCTCCACAATTTGTTGAAAATTATTAATTTGTTCAATGTATAGTAAGTTATTCGCAAATATTTTAAATTATGAAGATCAAAACTAAAAAACGTTAGAGGACATGTTCCGGTGATTTTATTCAACTGACTATTTTTATTCATAGGCAATTATTTTTTGTTATTTTATTCCTTCATGTTCCCAGTGGAACATAAAGCTTTGAAATTTCGGTAGCAGTTGGTTTCCTTTTTAATTTTTACGGGTGGGTTTGCCAGCCTCATACCCAACCTTCCGTCTTTACCAGTCTTATTACCGGCTTAGCGAGGTAAAGGAGGAGTGCGTCGATGGCCGGGGATCGAATCCCGGACCACATGAAGCGTGGTTGGCGGGTATTCTACAGTTGTGCCATCGACGCACACACACACACACATAAGCAGTGATAACTCATATATCTAGTATTAATCAAAATATTCGACAGTGAGACATATTCAACAAGTTTAAGTCATGTGGCATTGATTAGGTCATATTCAAAGTCGTAAAATTTATAAAATGTTTCTACAGTTTCTATTCATTTCACTACTATCTAATGTTTCAAAGTGAAGTCTGACTGATCGAATTTCAACACAGAACTTTGCATAGATGTGCAGCAGTTCAAGCTGTTATATACCATGTAGCACACACATACATAGTGGTAGAGGAAACGAACTAAATGGGATTCACAACAACTATAATCAATGGAAGTGTATGGGTGAAAGAATGGTAAAATGAAAAAAAACCTGAGGGTTTTCTTGGATATTGGGCTTGACAAACAGCGAATGTATCTGCGCTGTGTTATTCAGAACAAGGATTTTCAACCATATCACTATTTGTCTCCACACATTTGGTTCTTATCATCCCAGGCAGTTTACCCACCCCGCCCTACATGGCTGGTTCAAACTAACTGTCGAAGACTTTATCAATTGGTTTTATGTTTTCGTCTGACCAACACTAGCTCTTTGTCGACCTAATCCCAAGATAGCGTCGGTGGCACAGTGGTTAGGACTCTCGCCGACCATGAACATGGTCCGGGGTTCGAGCCCACGCCGAGGCACACCTGATATCTATGGTCGGCCTGCAAAATTTGGGCTACCGATATCCATGCTGAAAATTCCATACTTGTACCAAAAATACAGTGAGGAATCAAGCTGTAAATCAAAAATAAAAAAATAAATAAATAAATTTTCCGTCGAGGAAAGCGATGGTTAGGATATGTGTTAAGTTTGTGTAGAATAACAGCCTACTATCGTTTATTTCACACTGCATCTCATCAACTGCGAACAGAATCAAGAAATTATTAAGTTTATGTACAGAAAGATTTTAACATATTTGGAAATGTTTAATTGAATTTTTGATTTTCCTGTCGACTGATTGGACCAAAGTGCTCGGGTTCAGGTTGACATTTCGGCTTCTTGTGCAGATGCTTCGACGATGTCTGGGCATGTAATTGGAGGTTAATTGGTTGATGGTGACTAGAAGTGGAATCCAGGATGCGCATTTCGTCCTATTTGGGAGTCGTCTACCAGCTGGATGTACCTGCATTTCTTAGTGAGTGATGACGTTCTAATCAATCGACGGGAAAATCTAAAATTCAATTAAATAATTAATATGACCCGTTGCATAAGAAGTGGCTCTCGTGGCCCAAATGGTCTAGTGGATAAGGCTTTGGCGTTTGAAACTGTGGGCACTGGGTTCGAGCCTCGGTGGTGGTAACATCATCACTCACTGGGGAATGTATGTACATCCAGTGGCTGACGAGTCCCGAATGGGAAGAAATGCGCGTTATCCTGGCTGGATTCCACTGCTAGTCACCACCCACCAATTAAATATTTGTAAATGTTACACAATATTAGTTGACAAGAGACTCTAAACTTTATAAACACTTGCATAGCTTATACACAGAAGGTTTAAGTTTAACCAAAAATAAAGTCTTGGATACAATGACAAAAGAGTTACGTGAAAAAGACAAGAGTTGGTTAGAATGGCGAGTAACTAATAAGTTGAGTAACCCAGTGGGGAGTTTATCTCAAAACATAGAAACAAGAGCCAAACAAAATTGCATTACAGCTAGGTGGAAGAGGTTAAAGACAAGGATTATGTAACCAAGTAGAAGAGAGGGAGTAATGACATTGAGTTACCATGGTAAGAATTAACTGATAACTGCTTCTTTCTGAACATATAAGTCGAATTTCAGGTGTTTGATGGCAGTTGCTTCGGCAAATTTAAGGAGAATTGAACTGTTTTGTCTGTTGATAATTTTAAAGGATATCCGTGGTGTCCATCTCATGACCGGTATCATGGAAATGCCTAACAATGGCACTGTTGAAAGCGTTTGTTCCCTTGAGATGTAAGCTTTTTGGTACATGTTGAGAAAACTGAAAGTGGGTCTTTCTTTCTATCCTGTCAATATAACTACCATCACAGATATATGTATATTTGTATACACAGAGAAGCGTATCTATCGATTTTCCATTAGACAAAACAGCATGTTGTTCGATAAACAGGAACCAGGATAGATAATGGCTAGTGAGGCATTCAATCGTCAATTGACAATGAAGAAAATAAAAGACAGATTCAGCGAAGAAAATTTTCCCAAATCGACGAAATCATCTTCAGAGGCTGTACAGTAGTATTTATACTTACAAAAATATATAGTGGTTTATTATTGAGTAATAGGGTGTGTGTGACATAATTGATATAATTACTCAGAAGTGGGTTTAAAAGTTAAAATTAAAAGTTGTAAATTACGTGATACTCAACGGCACAAAGATAGAAATTTGAAAAGGTTAAAATTGCTATGGAGTGAGAATAAAGGTGGTAGTTGAGTGTCAATTTAACAAATGGGAAGAGGGCGTGAAATGTACAGAAGTAGCATCTGAGAGTGATAATAGTAAATTAATTATAAAAGCAAACTAAAAGTCAAATTGGAAATCAGAAAATGCAATTTTTTACAGGGAACGATTAGCGAAGAGGTGAAGACCAAGGTAGAATAAGAGACTGGACAAACTTTATCTGTATACAGAGTTCAGGGTTGTATAGATGAATCGCCAGCGCCTTCACCATACACAAAAGTCGAAACCTGACGCCCTTTGTACCATTTGGCTTCACTTTGTAGATGATGTTGAAAGACGACTCTGGTGGAGCTACATGACCTGAGTTCACCAAATGCTCGAAAATTGAGCTAGTAATTGTCCCTTGCCAGATAATGTTCAGAGATGCGTTTGGAAAGCGTGCGCTTTGTGCGGCCAATATAAGTAGCTCCACACGCGCAGGTGAATTTATAAAAAACACAGTGAGGTGGTTCAAAATGGCAGTTTATCCTTCACACATCCATTGATCATTTGTCGGCTGCAGACATTGATACGTAGCTCAGCCATAAAGAAGGCTTTCCTCAGTGATCTGCACAAGCGATTCTTCAGGATCTCAGCTGCGGTATCACCTTTAAATTCAACACTCATAAATAGCAGTTTCTTCGACAACGTCTGGATTCTTTCAAGGTTCTCCCTTAACTTCATGTTTTTCTCGATAAATCTTGGAGGATATCTACTTTCTATGAGGACTTGTCTGAGTCGCCCCAGTTCCACATAGATTATATCACTGGAACATATCCTCCTTATTCCTGAAGCTAGGCAGTGGATCAGATTTCTCTTTCTTCTCAAAGGGACACAGCTATGGAAATTTGTGTACTGACCATGCCATGGTGGTTTCCTGTAGATCGATCTTTGTAGAGAACCATCAGATCTCCTTTTTAGAAAAACATCCAAAAAATAGAATTCCGAGTTAATCTCTGATTCCGACGTGAACTGGATGGCAGCTGTTGAACTCTTTAGTTATCAATTCGATGTCGGTATTGTCGTCGCATATGATTAAAGTATCATCACCCCCTATTACTCAATAATAGACCACTATATATCTTTTGTAAGTATAAATACGGCTTAACAGGGTCTGAAGATGATTTCGTCGATAAAGAAAATTTTCCTCACTGAATTCGTCTTTTATCTTCTTTATGATTCAATGGATATATCCGGTGATTACCCATCATATGGTACCACATAACACAGGAGATAAAAACCAAATATCTGCGGTCGAAGACAACCACTCTTTTCATAATCTTTCACTTTCAATGGCCATGTCGGACAACCACAAAGAAGGACAGAGCTAACTACGAAGTAGTACACACGTCCTTTGATTGATGCAGTCGGACATAACGTCTACGCCTGAGAAAGCGTAAGTCTACAAATGCTACACGCAAGCCTATTGTATCAGCGCTGAGACTTCGTTAGCAATCAGCCCCCATTGGGCTTGATGCAACCTCCTAAATAATTGAATTGGTCAACAAGCTCTACCAAAGTGCTGAGGAGACTCTGCATTTTGCCAACGGCTTCACCTAGGAGGGCAACATAACCCAAATGCTCTAAGTGTAGTTGTAACAACAGAAGACAAAGGCCAGGCAACAGATCCTTTATTAAGGAAATCAACACATATTTAAAGATTTTTATGTACATATTATAGATTATTGTTAGCAGAAAAACACAGTCCTCTGATTGGTTGTTTCTCACAGAAAGTTAATCTTGCATCTCTTTGTGGCTGTCAGATCATCTATATGTTAACTGTATCCGCCTACACAAAGCCTTTGTTCTCATTTTTCTCACGACCAATATTGGGGACATAAACATTGACGTAAATTACTGTCCACCAATTTTGACTAACAGCTGTCACCGAATAGTAACTTAAATTAATGTAGAACTCTATCAGACACCTAACAGTTCCACACAGTTGTATAAAAATATGAATAAAAATCCATCATAAAGTCATTAACGGCAATTTCTGTCGATAATGTTTGGATATATATTTTTACACAAAACAAAAGCTATACATAGAGTATATTCATCAAAATGTACAAATATTCACATTCATAGTTTTTTTAATCGATTACCAGGACTTAACTTTCAGTCCTATAAACATCCCAAACAAGTAAACTGCCAATAGCTCCACCATTTGCTGGAACAGATGTAAGTAAATAATTTGATGTCTTTGTAAATGTACATGATCGAATCAACTTCGATTGTTGATCAATATTAGGTCCGTGTGGTTTAGTCAGTGTTGTAGAACTCCAATCCCCGATTAAACTGCCTTCATTCAATCCACCAATACTTGTAAGATAACCTAGGGATTTTATTTTAAATCGATCAACTTTTGATTGTATTTCAGCCAGGCGTATTTGTCCATCCCATTGACCGATTGCCAGAAGACGACCATCTCCACGCCAAGAAAAACATGAAATACCAATTAGAGAATTATCTAGTGTTTTTCGTACCTTAGACAATATATAAGGATTGTCTAATTGTGGTTTGTATTCCAGCTGTACAAAGGCTATACTTCCACTGACTGGTGAGCTTGTATCACAAGTGTCAACACTTGGTCCACCCAGGACAATAAGTCTAGTAATCTTCTGTAGATCTGTTGTTATTGTTGTTTCCTTACCCGACTGTTGTACAACTACAGGTCGAAGAGAGAATGTCATAATAGGGATAGATTGACCCAAGAGATCATCAATGACACATAGAACTAAACCATCACCCAATAACACCAAGTGTCCAGATTCAAAACCAGCCAATAGAAGACAATGTATTCTCTCTATAGATGAGTGCTTTTCAACTCCTTGTAATGCCATACACATGCCTAGATTGGAAATATTTTTACAAGCTATGCGTATGGCATCAATTGACTGATGACAGATAAATGTGAATTGAGGGAATTGAATCACTTCGATAATTGGTTGTCTGGCAGCTTCAGATGACTCGCCTTCTATTTCATCATGACAAACATGAGCTAAGAAGTACAAATCTGTTGTTGCTGAACAATTCATTGATGCAGGCCAGAAAGTAGAATTGCAAAATGACACATCATAGGTACGAATTTCACTAAAAACTATCAAGAAATGAAAAGGGAAAAAAATGCAGAAAATGAAAAATGCGGTGATACGAAAAACAAAAGTAGAGAAGATTTAACTCATGGAAAACTAGAACAACTAAGTTCAGCGAAGAGTCTCTTTTCGACGGCGAATTTATTCCTTTAACCATACAATCGCATTCATATGTGCACAAAAGCCGCCCATGCTTAGCGTCCCGAAAAAAAATACTCTACATGAACCTTAAATTCAATAAAGATATATCTGCGGAAACACCAAAAAATCGACTGTCACGCTCACTTAATAAGACCTTCTTCGCAGCTGAACTACGACCAACCTTTTCCACAAAACCTATGATTCACGTGAACGCGAAGGACAAGCTACCACTGCTGGTCAGCCTCATCAATGTGTATTTGTCAATTCACATGCTCGTGTGGAGCCAGGTATGTCGGCCGTATCCAGTGTTCGCTTTCCAAACGTATCACCGAACACTTACCAACATGGTTTAACAAAGGAGAAAAACGATGCCCCCGCAGCTCCATCGTAGAACATCTGATAGAATCTGGACACCAAGTTACACCACAAACAAACTTCAAAGTTATCTATAGAATACGAAGTAGTCTTCCTAAAGGTGTACGAATCAGACTTCTTCTACCTGCAGAAGCAATGGCGATTCACTTGCTAAGTCTTGAACTGTGCATACAGAAGAAATTCGTTCAATCACTACACTTGCAATGGACGTAATCTATCTTATTACCCGACAAGTAAATTATACCCAATCTTTTTATTTGTCTGAGTGTTCATTAGTATTATTTTGTCTTCTCAATTGCAATATTTTACATTTTCAACTTTCTTGTACTCTACACCCACCCGATTTAATTCCTACACCCCACTACCACTGTTACTGACTTGACCAACGCTCAATTTCTAGTCATTTATGTTATGTCATCCAATTTATTTGCTCAATTTCAGTTCTAATATGAATGGCAATATTCTCTACCCCACTTCTACTTAGTCCCTACCTGTAATTACCTGTATTGCTACCCTGACGTCATCTAACTTACTAACTCAATCTTACTTTAGTTGCTGTCTGATTAACCTTGTTTCTATATTAGATCATTCTTGTATTACCTGATCAATTATCTAAACTTGACAAACCTCATGTACACACATACACACAAATAATTGTATATAAATGCGACTGTACAGCTATGTGAATGAATTCGCCGAAAAAAGTCTCTTCACTGAACGTCTTCTCTTTTGCACAGAGAATTCATTCAAAGTCGTCTACAAAGTCAAAAGTAGCCTCACGAAAACGATAAGCTTCCGTATACTTTACATTACCGAGGCCTTAGCGATCAGGATAGAAAAGCCTGATTTATGCACACAGAAGAAACTTCTCCACTCCCTCCTTCTACCTCCCGTAAAATTCCAAGTTCCACGACTTTGGTAATAATGCTTTTTTGAGTTTTTGTGTGACTTTTAGTAACATCTTCTTAACAAACCCTTTATTTATTCTTTCTATCTATTACATAATTTATTTTTTGGACACGTGTCTCCATCAGCATGCTATTTCATAATATGCAAACATTGTCAATACTTACAAATCTTCACCCCACCCCACTTCTAGTTACAACTTGATTATTCATCAACGTAAACAACAACCCTAACCAAATCCCTACAAACCAATCCTTGAATTTTTATTTTTGTTTGACAATTCTAATGTGCACACACAAAGTAATTATATATAAATGAGATTGTACAGCTAAGTGAATAATTTCGCCGACGAAAAGAGACTCTTCGCTCATTTTTGTGGTTCTTTTATTTATGGAAAACTGTTCAGCAGTATATATACACAGCTCTGGTATTTTTTATTTCAGCTTGATTCCACACCGTATTTTTTTAGTACAGGTATGGAATTTTCAGCATGTGATAACGGTAGCCCAAATTTTGCAAGCCGACTATAGATATCAGGTGTGCGTCGGTAAGGGACCAAACCCCGGACCATGTGTATGGTCAGTGAGAGTCCTAATCACTGTGCCACCGACGCATATATATATATATATATATATATATATATATATTCCCCTTTTCTAACTGAGTATCAAGCATTTCACAGTCAATACCATAAATATTTCGATTTTTGCAGAAAATACAGAAGAAATGTAACTATTCAGTTACACCACATAGTGTTACACTAATCAGCAAATGAGAATCCTGCAAAACCACACTTCTTTAAAAAATTCAAACTAGTAATAACACAATTATTTGTTTAGGAAGACGTATGATTTTCGCCTGATACATGTGCACCAAATCAATCGGCATCCAGAGAAGACAGACGGGATGAAGATAGCTAACCAATAACAAAAACAAGCATCTAATTCCATCAACAGGAGAAATCTGCTCCTCTCAACATATGGAAGAAGATCCGGATCTATAACACTAATATTGAGAGTCAGACAGTTCTTCTATATGGTTGACAGACTTAGTGCATCACCGAAAGCATTTCGTACAGGCTTCAAAATTTCATCAACAACTGCCTTCGCACTATACTGAAGATCAGAGGGCCGGTTAGAAAGAATTAGCAACAAGGAAATGTGACAACATACCAACCAAGAATCTGCTGTTCAACGAATATTCCGAAGTAAAAGGATATAGACCGAGCATATGCTGACGAGACACCACACGGTAGGCATACCCTCAAATGTAACGCGAATGGGAAACGACGATACGGGCGTTCAACGTTGACACGCAGAAGACCGTATGAAGAGGAAATGAGAGTTGATGAACAGTCGTGGAGCCGGTTGAAGAAGACAGTGGAAAAAGGGATTAAATAAAGATTTGCCGCTGAAGGACTATGTTCCACTCGGAACCCAAGGGAACAATAATAATAATAATTTTGGTATTTCCATATTAGTTTGTTTGTTAGATGTACAACACAGTGATGAAACAGTATTATTTACTGGATGACGAAGTTTCAGACACAATTTATTACTGTTCATAATCATATCAATTGTAACCAAACGACTTTGAAACTTGAGTTTTATAGTTTTTCTTTGTTCTCTCCTATTTGTCGTAGGGGCGGGGGGCTAGGGGGGGGGTAGAATTTTCCAGATATCTGGGACAGGTGTTGAATCATTCCTATTACACGTATTCTCCCGAGTTGATTCGATAAACAAAGCTTCTGTTATCAATCTCTCCCTCCATCCACCCTGTTACATTAGATTTCGAAACCGTCATATTATCCCATCCCATTGTATGATTGTGTGTAATTCCATGTAGTGCTATGGCTGAACTATTCTCTAGATTTCTTATCTTATTCGGGTCAACCAATCTAGATTTCGCTGCCAGGTTTTTATATTCGGCTAGTCTGACTGTCCTTGTTCTACTAGTTTGACCTATGTATTTGACCTGAAAATCTCTCCAGCAGGGTATTAGATAAACTAAATTGTTTTGTTTTAAAGGCTCCACAGGATCCACCATTTAACTGACAAAGGTTGTTTCTAATTGAGTTTGTGGGTGGTTTGAATGCCAGCCACTTTTATTCCTCCCTTGTTAAGAATTCTGAGTAAGGCTTCCGAGATTCCTTCCTTGTATGGAATTACTGTTGATGATTTAGATTCCTTATTGTTGGTGTCGTCATTATTATTATTATCATCATTATTATTATTAATATCCTGTAGAGCCCTTAAAACAAAACAATTTAGTTTATCTAATACCCTGCTGGAGAGATTTTCAGGTTAAATGCATAGGTCAAACTAGTAGAATAGTGGCAGTCAGACTAGCCGAACATAAAAACCTAGCAGCTAAATCTAGATTAGGTGACCCAAATAAGATAAGAAATCTAGGGAATAGTTCAGCCATAGCACTACATGGAATTACACACAATTATACAATGGGATGGGATAATATGACGGTTTCGAAATCTAATGTAACAGCTGGGTGGAGGGAGAGATTGATAACAGAAGCTTTATTTATCGAATCAACTACAAACATATGTAACAGGAATGATTTAGCACTTGTTCCACGCATCTGAGAACTTCTACTCCTCCTACGACAAATAGGAGAGAACAAAGAAAACTATGAAACTTAAGTTTCGAAGTTGGGTGCTTGATATTGATGTGATAATTGACATGGTTGTGGACGATGAACTGTGTTCAAAACTTCGTCAGCCAGTAAATAATACGACTGTTTCACTGTGTGATATGTCTAATAAACAAACTAAAATGGAATTACACACTATCACAGTGCCAAAGTCTTACAGATATACTAATATTTACGCTCTCCTCGAAGGTATAGCAATCCTTACTACCTGTGAAATAATACAACTACATATAGTTAAGGAAAATATTTCAAACACTTAAAAAAATATCACATAGATGAGTGCAATAGTACATACTTTGATGAAGCGGTTCAAAAAGATTAGAACTGTTAACCTGTAATTGATTAAATTCCCAGAAACGTATAAAACCATCACGAGCATGAGATATAATCACGTGTGAAGTATTTCTTGGCCAAAAATGTAAACTTGTAATCTGATAACCTGAATGTCCAATCCATTGACAGCAGGGTCGATGTTTTTCAATTGACCAAATAATTATCCAACCATTTAAATGACCAGATATGAAATAAGCATCAAGTGCTGATAGGATAAATGTACATGGACCAATTGAATTTGAAACTGTAGGGCTATTTTCCCGGTTGGAATGTGCTGGTTGCGCTGGTATTAATATGTGAAGTGGTTCCTAAAGGTAAGTAAAAATACATGCACACTGTAAGTATGAATAGTTTTGAAAAAAAATACAAGACTGATTCAATGATGAAGTATTACCTTTAGAAGGAACTTGTCTTTCTATGCCATTAGTAATAAGTCACGCCTATTTTGTGATAGGGGTGATGATACTGATAACTCGTTTGGTTAGTCCAGGAGGGATTCGAACGCATAACCCAGTGATTGATACTCAATCAATATCCTCACAAAAACTGAGGAAAATATTCAGGAACCTTCAATTAAGGCCATTAAAAAGACAAATCTATTTTTGTCTTAACTGAAAAATGATACAAGCTATCAAACCATTGGTCTCTTTGTGATCATTGAAGCTGTAGGAACTATTTAGTATAGAAAAACGCCGTTCATCTACTCAAATGAAGTTGCATAAGTAGACAGCTGCATTATGACCCTCACCTATAAATCAGAAAGTGAAGAACAATTCGCTGACAGACATTACCCACTCTACTTAGGTTAAACACTAACCATTGAATTGAATTTTTTGATTTTCCCGTCGATTGATTGGACCGAAGTGCTCGGTCTCAGGTTGACATGTCGGCTTCTTGTGCAGATGCTTCGACGACGTCTGGGTATTTAGTTAGTATACAATTGGTGGATGGTGGCTAGCAGTGGAATCCAGGATAAAGCGCATTTCGTCCCATTTGGGACTCGTCAGCTGGATGTACCTGCATTTCTCAGTGAGTGATGATGTTCCCACCACCGAAGCTCGAACCCAGTACCCATAGTTTCAAACGCCAAAGCGTTATCCACTAGACCACTTGGGCCACGAGAGCCACCTCTTGTGCGACGGGTCATATTAATTATTGAATTGAATTTTTTGATTTTCCCGTCGATTGATTGGACCGAAGTGCTCGGTCTCAGGTTGACATGTCGGCTTCTAGTGCAGATGCTTCGACGACGTCTGGGTATTTAGTTAGTATACAATTGGTGGATGGTGGCTAGCAGCCTCGGTGGGAACATCATCACTCACTGAGAAATGCAGGTACATCCAGCTGACGAGTCCCAAATAGGACGAAATGCGCATCCTGGATTCCACTGCTAGCCACCATCCACCAATTGTATACTAACTAAATACCCAGACGTCGTCGAAGCATCTGCACAAGAAGCCGACATGTCAACCTGAGACCGAGCACTTCGGTCCAATCAATCGACGGGAAAATCTCAAACTTAATCAAATTAATATGACCCGTTTCACAAGAGGTGGCCAGCTCTCGTGGCCCAAGCGGTCTAGTGGATAACACTTTGGCGTTTGAAATTATGGGCACTGGGTTCGAGCTTTGGTGGTGGGAACATCATCACTCACTGACTGGGGAATGCAGGTACATCCAGTTGACTGGCGAGTCCCAAACAGGACGAAACGCGCGATATCCTGGATTCCATTGCTAGTCACCATCCACAAATTAAATGTTCAGTCCTTTGTTTGCTGCAGACAGAATTCTGTTAGTCAAGTTTGTAATATGGTTACTATACTAGGCAATGACTCGTCATCACGGTGCATTCTGAATTGATAGTTGGAAGCAATCAGAAAGAAGCCTTGGATCGGCGTTTCGTGCTTGTCGGCACTCGTCAACAAGGCACATGTGTGACACCGGTTCGAAACTCAAAAAGGATATGAGTTCCTTCAAGATTGAAGATGACGAGTACCAACAGTCACAAAATGAAGGCTGAAGGCATTCTGCTGGTCGTCTTCAATCATCTAACAGTAATTCAGAGACGCCGTGATGGCGAGCCACCTAGTAGCACGGTGGCCACATCGCGGCATTGATGAATGAAGCCTTTTTTTATTGAATCAACAGAAAAGAATACGTGCAACAGAAATGATTCAACAGTGTCCACCTGAACATCTTGAAAAGTCTACTACCCCTACGACAAATGAGAAGGAAGAAAGAGAAGTAAAAAAGAAATCATGTTTTTAGATCGTGCTGTTACAGTTTTTATGATTATGAAAAATAAGTCATGTTCGACGCGTTAACTAGTGAATAATACTGTTTCATCTTTACATATATATCCGAAGGACAAGTTAACGTGGAATCACATATTACCAGAGTGCCCGAGCGTTACATACACACAATTAAAACTAAATATTAATTAGCCGAATGATTCTTCAGCACTGTTCATCTGCAGTGCAGTGAAATGGTCTGTAAAGAGATCACAGTGCCTTTAGAGATGGTTAGTTTTAAATTACGAAACGTAGATTGTCATACTAGATATTATCGTCAGTGTTAATCTAAATGGGATCATAACATCGATTAGATGACCGTCACAGAGTCATTTGGCGATGACGAAATAGTACCAGGTATTTCTAGTGACACTGAACTAAGAATAGATTTATTAATCGAATAGTATATATATATATATATATATATATACAAGTCTTTAAACATGTTTCGCAACTTGAAACCGTCGAAATTCATTATTAGAAACATTTTTAAGTCAGATGTCATGTCAGTAAACAGGCATGATTTTGATCAGGAAGAGGGTGTATTGATCATAGCTTCCCTTCGACAGATTCTGTAACAAAGACACACCTACAGTCGGCGTCCAACAATCGTCATATTTCTTGACCTGAAGGCGATATATTTGATCCTGTCGACCGAGAGGTACACTGGTGGTATTCGGCTGATAAAATACATTGCACCGATTAAGGCACTCTACTCAAACTCATGAAGCCAGCTAAGAGCTTACGGTGAGTTGGCATCTGAAGTGGTGGCAAATAGTGGTGTCCGTCAAAGATAGCAACTATCCCCATTTCTATTTAATTTCATCATAGATGTACTAATGTAAGTAACCCTAACTCACTTCAGAGACTCAGGAATTGACTTGCTACCAACGAATAATCTTGTTAACTTAGAATATGCAGTCGATATAGTCCATCTACGTGAGGACGCTGACAAAATCGAGAGTCTTCTGAACACCTACAGCTGCAATCTTCGAATGTTTGGCATGCGATTCGTTCCGCCAATGTAAGATGCTGCTGCAGGACTTGACTACATTGATCACTAGCTTAGAAATACGGATTTAAGTGGTAGAGCATGTTGACCACTTCACTTATTTGGAAAGTTGCATCAGCCAGCCTTAATGGGCTAACCGCTGAAGAAATCTCAACACGGATAGAGAAGGCTGGCTTCGCGTATGCCAGTTTAAGCCGTCTCTCTCATAGTAGACGTGATGCCCAACTGCCTGTCGATCAAAGGACGTGTGTACTGCTCAGAAGTCTGCTCTGTCCTCCTATATGGCTGTGAGTGAGACATGATCATTGAAAGTGAAAGACATGAAAAGCGTGGCTAGCTGTCTTTGATCATAGGTACCTGAGTCCTATATCCCGTGTTAAGTAGTGTAGTAGGGTGAGTAATATTGAAATGAGGCATCGGTCGAGTGCCAGGTAAGGGGGAAAATCAATCGACTAGGCTGTGAAGTTACATCAATTGAGAGAGATGATTAGGACATGTGTTACGCATGCCTAGCTAATGATAGCCTTCCTCGACAGCGAGCAATGTTAGCCGGGATAGGATAGATGAGGTTGGAAAAGAGTTAGCCAGTGGTGGTCAAACCAAAACATACTTCCATCAGTCAATGAAATCTACAACAGTTAGTTTAAGCTAGCCAGCCAGCCAGTCACGCAGGAAGGTGTAGACTATCCTCCTGGTTGAGGTCTTTGTAAAATTAAGAACCAATGGCTGGAGACAATTGGTGGTATGTCTCAAAATCGTTCTCAATGAGTAGCACAGATGCATCCACCCCTTGTGATTTATCATACCCAATAAAATTGTATTGATCTTCTATATTACTATTCTTGTTGTCTCATACCTCTGTTTACTGTCTCTGGTTTGCATTTCTTTTTACTTTCTTCTCTTGATTTGTGTGCTGAGTGAATGGAGTGCAGCAACTCGAACTGCTGCACATCTGTGCAAAGTTCTGCATTAAAACCAGTCAGTCAGTCAGCTGCATTGGTTTAAACACTCGACTTTCAGTCAGTGAGTCCCGGGGTTCGAAACCCGCCCCACTTAACTTAGCCTGGGCAACTCGGTAGTATCACTAGACGCCACATAATATGTGCGGCTCATAGCCAAGCGTCCTGATTAGTCAAGCTGTACCAAACAAGCACATAAGTTCGCATTTACACACTTGGAAAAAGCAGACACGGATAAAATCATACTATAATAGAAAACTGTGTTGAACGAATAGAACAAGAAAATAAATGTCATGAAAACTCCTCAGAATCTGGAAGATAACAAATAAATACATCTAAGCTATGGTGAAAGATTTTGAGCCATCTCACCAACCACTGACCGTAAAAGTCCCGAGACGGAACTCATTACACAAGTCATAATACCTGTTGATAGGAGAAAAGATGAGGCCAGTGTAAAGGTGCAAGATGGAGCATAACGGTTATTTATTTCTATTTTTGATTACAGCTTGATTCCACACTGTATTTTTGGTACAAGTATGGAATTTTCAGCATGGATATCAGTAGCCCAAATTTTACAGGCCAACCATTGATAACAGTTGTGCGTCGACAGGAGATCGAACCTCAGACCATGTGCATGGTTGGCGAGAGTCCTAACCATTGTGCCACCGACGCACAACAGTTCGTTGACTAATAATGCTACGGAATTCCTTAAAAGACGCGTGAATATCAGTCTTCAGCAAGAGGATAAAATCCATCGAATTTCCCCAATATATATGGAGACAGTTACAATCATAACTTTGTATAGCAGAAGACTGCTACTTTACAATGTACAAACTCGAAGATGGCAAGTGAATCGGTAGATAGGAAAATCGGTGTACGACAGTAATTTCTACTGAATAACCGACAGGAAGCCCTCAATGATTGTTTCGCTGATTAGTGAAACATTTTCCCTACAAAAATAATGAGGTTTCGTGTGCATTTCGGATTGTGAAGACGCTGACGAAATGCAGAGTCTTCTAAACACACTGAGCTGTAATCTACGAATGTTTGGCATGCGATTCGCTCCCGCCAAATGCAAGATGATGTTACAGGACTGGACTACATCGACGCCTAGTTTAAAAATAGGAAGTGAAGTGGTAGAGCACGTTGACCGCTTCACTTTTTTGGGAAGTACCATCAGCCAGTGCCAACGGGTTGATCTCTGACGAAATCTCAGCACGAATACAGGGGGCCCGTTTCGCATTTGCCAGTTTACGCCGACTCTGGCGTAGACGAGATGTTCGACTATCGACCAAAGGGCGGGTGTACTGCTCATCAGTCCGCTCCGTCCTCCTTTATGGTTGTGAGACCTGGCCACTGAGAGTGGAAGACATGAAAAGACTAGCTGTCTTTGATCATAGGTGCCTGCGTTCTATTTCTCGTGTAAAGTGGCATAATAAGGTGAGCAAGATGGAGGTTAGGCGTCGAGTTCTAGGTAAACAGGGGAAATCAATCGACGAAGTCGTGAAGCTACAAAGACTGAGATGGTTAGGACATGTGTTATGCCAAGCCATCGCCTCCCTCGACGAGCAATGTTAGCGGATATAGGGTCAGGCTGGAAAAAAGCTAGCGGCGGTCAAACAAAAACTTGGCATCAGTCAATGAAATCTACAACAGTTGGTCTAAGCCACGTAGAAAGGTGTAGACTTCCAGGCTGGGGTCCTCGGGACGGTAAAAATCTATGGTTGGAAACAATTGGTGACATGGCTCAAAACCGTTCTCAGTGGCGCAGATGCATCCACTCCCTGTGACTTATGATCTTCAATGAAACTGTTTTGTATTTCTTTATTACTCCTTTGTCTCACACCTCTGCTCACTGTTTCTATTATGCTTTTCTTGTACTTTCTTCTCTTGCTTCGCGTGCTACACGGAATGTGGCGACTTGAACTTCCGCACATTTGTGCAAAGTTCTATGTCGAAAACAGACAGACAGACAAAAATAATGCTAAGACAGCGAAAAATATTGCATTAAAATAATGTCTAATATGTGATTGGAATCTTGGTCAAATGGCTGCTTGACTTCATTGAAAACATGCACACGCCAGTTACAGAAGTACATCAACCGGAGGTAGACGATAAATCCTATTGATTTTTATTATGCATATAATTTTACTTTGATAAAATCACCCAGTGTTATACAGTAATATTCACTGATGCGACCATGTTTCGAGCATATCAAGGTACTCACACAACTTTCTTGCTTCATTTGTATACATGAGTAAAAAATTTAATTAAACTTTTGAATGATTGGTTGAAGGATTTCATCATGAGCTCTGATCAGTTAGAGAACCATTGGAGAGAACCAACAAGGAGTATTGGACAGCTGTTTCGTCAGACTAGTTTGAGACTCTTTAGCAGCACATACCCACCCCAAGGGGTTCAAACCCACGACCTTCTGGTTACAAGGCGAGCTAGCTCGTAGACCAATAAGCCAGCCACTGGGACCCTATCCAATGGACAGTTCATGAATCCCAACTTCTGCCAATTCACGATGTCCACTAGCGTCTGGTCCTATTCAGGCAGTAACCTGGGGTTCTAGTGGGTAGCCGTGACCAACAGGGTGTAACAGGTTGAAGATGAGGCAGTAACTCACCGAAGAAGACATTGCGAAGTGGTCGCGTCATATAGTGATTTGGAAGAAGTTGGAATTCATGAGCTGGCCATTGAATCGGGTCTCAGTGGCTTAATGGCCTACGAGCTAGCTCGCCTTTTAACCAGAAGGTCCTAGGATGGGTGCGTACTGATGAAGGGTCCCAAACTAGTCTGACGAAACAGCTGTCCAGTACTCCTTGTTGGTTTTCAATAGTTCTCTAACTGAAATCGATCCGTGGTCAAACATATAAAACGAAACAAATACATTTTAACTACGCCTGAAACATGAGTTAAGACGTTTTTATATATTCGAAAAATGTGTATATCGAAGGGATTCTTTTTCACATTGAAAGTAGAAAAAATGAATTAGTTCATTCAAATAGATATAAACAATCTTAAGCGGAAAACTGTTTCTAACTCGGGCTAACCTGTTTGTTTATACAAGGATCAGCTAGTGAAAGAAATTCAGTCAAATGATCCAGAAATAAAAACAGAATTTAACAGTAACTCAATTTTCGGTACTCAAATTCCAACGGGTGGTTAGTAGTGAATACTGGCCTTACCAACCAGCATTTGAACAACTTATTATTATCTTAAACTAATAATACACAATCCTGAACATTGTAACCGAGAAATGATCAAACATGTGGGTGGTCAAATTCGATCTAAACTCAGTAGATATAACGTAGACATCAATAAAATAACAATCCTGTGGAACGAACTAGTCAACTAGAATTGCTTGTTCAATTAACAGTTTACAGTAATAAGCGAAAATATCATGACAGCAAAATTAACAAAAGTCGGTGGCCTTGTGGTAGAATTCCCGCAAACCAACAAACCACAAGGTCTGCTGGAGGATACATACTTAGACCACACCTAGCTGGTGATAAACCCGAGAAAAATGGAAAGTCTCGCATGAGGCTAGCAGCAAGCCAGTCACACTCCATACAAAACAAGACCACCACTACTGAAATCTCACGGCTCCACGCTCGAAGTGCCATAATATTCTTCTCGTAATGCAAGGATGAAACTAAACAAGTCAGAAAATTAGTCAACATACTTCACAAAAGCCATTACCTATTTTAGTTAGATTTCTAACTACGGGAGCTTGATATTAACATTGAAGAAAAGCTAACAGAATTAAGCGTATTTATAATCAACAACGTCAGAGTTATATGCACCACATAATTTTATCTTTTACTAAAATATAGCTAGCAAATGGACTGACTGGTTTCAATAGGGAACTACTTTGCACTGATGTGCAGCAGTTCGAGTTACCACACTCGCTCCTTGTAGTATACAAAGCATGAGAAGGGAGTAAAGAGAGGCAAAAAGAATAGTAATACGGAAGAACTATATAGTTTTATAGGACAGTGTATTCACAAGGAGTGGATGCATTTGCGCCAGCCATTGAGAATGATTTTGAGCCATATCACCGATTGTCTCCAGTCGTCATTGGTTCTTAGAATCACAAGGACTCCAACCAGGAGCACAGTCTACACCTTACTACGTGACTAGCAGGCTTGCCTAAGCTAACTGTTGTGGATTTCATTGACTGATGAAGCGATGTTTCGGTTTGACCACAACTATCTAACTCTTTTCCAACCTGATCCATCCTATGTCAGCTAAAATTGCCCGCTGTCGAGGAAGGCGATCGTTAGCTAGACATGCGTACAACATGTCCTAACCATTTCTCTCAATCGATGTAACTTCACAACCACGTCGATTGATTTTCCCTCACCACCTAGCACTTGACCGATGCATCACCTTGATATTGCTCACCCTATTATACCATCTAACATGGGAGATAGAACTCAGACACCCATGATCAAAGACAGCTAGCCAGGCTTTTTATATCTTCCACTTTCAATGGTCATGCCTCACTCACAACCGTAAAGAATTACGAAGCGATATGCGGAGCAGTACACACATCCTCTGATCGACAGAGAATTATTTTCTTATTAAAAATACAATACAATCACAACCAATAGCAATGAAAGCGACAGAAATACATACCATATACAAGTGGCTATCACAACTTTATTTATTATAAAAAAAATATTATACATACTATTATTATACATTGTTAAAAGTCGTAGAAAAAGTTAACAAAAGAACGAAAAACGATAAAACAAGAAAAGCAAGATTTTTAAAAATAAGTCATTGACAATTATACACACAGAAAAAGGATATATATATATATATATATATATATATATATATATATATATATATATATATAAAGCATTAAGATAGACAAACGTTGTAGATATTGCTTAGTATTTGACATTTGTACAGTACATGTACGTTTTCTGTTTTAGGCGTAGTAGTAGTAGTAACAGTAGTAGTAAGCAAGGCAATAAATAAATAATCACAGGTTGATATATATGCAGATATGTGTATATTTATTAATATGTGCATAAACTTTCATTCATTCCTGACTTTGAACAGCATAGTCGTCTTACGTGTAAGGAATTCTTCACAGTGGAGGAGGAGTTTCACTTCATCGAGCATCTTTCTTTCCAAAAGAAAAACCTGATTTGCCTAGAAAAAAATTGATAATAGCAAAGAAAAAAACAAAAACATTTAACTTAAATCAAATGAACTATAGTCAAGATTTGACAGAATAGTTCTATAATATTTGGGCGCCGAGTGAGAAGTAGACATTTGTAAAAAATTATATTTGTAAAATCTCAGCGACATTGAAATGAGTAATTCCAACGTTTCGTTCGGAAATCTGGTCCGAACTTCTTCAGGGAAATTAATCGAAATTAACATAACAGGTTTATACTTAAAAGGAACATCTTTAGTTTTTAAAAACTTTGTCCAATCATGAGTCATAAAACAAATATTAACAAGTAAAATAAACAAAATTATACGAGTTGTGATCAAAATTTGACCTCATACTTACAAATATTGATCTACCTTTGTTAAACACTTTAAACACAGTGTGTATGTGTGCGGATAAACAGTTGTAAAACAATGTCTTAACGTCTCCATAAGTAGATATAGACAGTCGGGAACTTTGATCAAGTATTATTAGTTAGTGATACATATCCATTCTTATTTATTAATCAGGATTTCCTATGTGTCAGCTAACATCACACTTTCATGTCTGTTCGAACTGCTAGTATCTAGAATTTTATGATTAGACGTATTTTCAAAATTATGGTGTTTAGGATTAGAGTTTAGTTGAACAACCCCGTCAAACTTATTACTTTGTCTTCTTTCTGAAAATTGAGCTGCTTTATTCGACCTACTGAAGTTGTCAGGTGACTGGACAGCTACAGCTAAAAAGTACGCATTCTGCTGCAGACAACGGAGAGTGGAAACACGATGATTGTGCCAATTACATAGTTTCTTTGTTAATTTAATTCGATTACAAAAAAAATCAAATGAACTGTAGTCAAGATTTGACAGAATAGTTCTATAATATTCTATAATATTTGGGCGCCGACTGAGAAGTAGACATTTGTAAAAAAAATTATATTTGTAAGTCAAATTTTGATCACAACTCGTATAATTTTGTTTATTTTACTTGTTAATACTTGTTTTATGACTCATGATTGGACAAAGTTTTTAAAAACTAAAGATGTTCCTTTTATGTATAAACCTGTTATGTTAATTTCGATTAATTTCCCTGAAGAAGTTCGGACCAGATTTCCGAACGAAACGTTGGAATTACTCATTTCAATATCGCTGAGATTTTACAAATATAATTTTTTTTACAAATATTTAACTTAATTTTCAAGTAATGGTTTTGTAGGCATTTTGTTTGATTGCTTGGAAGATTTCATCATAAGCTGATATCGGTTGGAGAACCATTATTGGAAAACCCACCAGGGAGTACTGAACAGCTGTTTTGTCAGCCTAGTTTCGGACTCTTCAACAGTATGCACCCACTTCCAAGGGGTTGAAACCAGGAGCTTTTGGTTACAAGGTTGAATGTGAGGCAGTATAACTCATCGAAGAAGGTATTGCGAAGTAGTCATGCTATGTCATGAATTGGCAGAAGTTGGAATTCATGGGCTGGCCATTGGATAGAGTCGCAGTGGCTGGCTTAATGGTCAACGATTTAGCTCGCCTTGTAATCAGAAAGTCCTGGGGTGGGAGCGTACTGATGAAGGGTCCTAAACTAGTCTGACGAAATAGCTGTCCAGTACTCCTTGTTGGTTTTCCAGTGGTTCTCTAACTGATATCAGCTTATGATGAAATCCACCAACCACTTTAAATGAATATTTTGAATATATATTACAGTTCACTTATGAACTCTTAAGGTGAAATTACTTTTGCAATAATAAGCCTATAGTGCATCATCGGAAGGAGGAGGAGAAAAGGCAAGAGTTGACAGTCGACGGATCAATACTCTGGTAGAAACAACAAAAAAAAGGATTGAGGAAGGAGGAATGCAACAAATGAAAGCCATGATGACAGAGAAAACGCATAAAGGCGGGTGACAAATATTATTATTTGCATAAATGATGCTCAACACAGACAGGTGGGGGCATGGGGGGTTATATAATATATGGTCTATAAAAATCATTTTCGCCAGATAATAGATATATAGTGAACTCAGATAAACTAGAGAAATTGATGTGGTAATTAATATTAATCAATCCGTATGACTGATAGGCGTTTTGATGACAATGACACTCACTGATATTGTTATCATAATAGGAGCGATAAAATCTGCAGCAAAGTGCACTTTCTAAATAAAGTGAAATAAAACAAGACGACAAGTATTCAGTAATAGCCATGAAATCGATATCATTGAAACAGGTTGACACTAGCTGTGGAAAAGCTTAAGTCAGTCATTGTATACTGTTGCATTATACAGCGGGTTGATTACTGACGAAATCTCAGCACAGATACAGAAGGCTCGTTTCGTATAATGCCAACTTACGCCGTCTCTGACTTAGTAGACTTGATATCCAACTGGCTGTCGACCAGATGGTGTGTGTACTGGTCATCATTTCTCTCCATCCTCCTTTACGGCTGTCAGTGAGACATGACCATTGAAAGTGGAAGATATGAAAGGGCCAGGTGTCACTCATCATAGGTGTCTGCGTCTTATCTCCCATGTTAGATGGTATGATAGGGTGAGTAATATTGAGGTGAGGCATCGGTCGAGTTTTAGGGAAGGAGGCAAAATCAATCGACGAGTTTAAGAAAGTTACACCGATTGAGAGAAATCGTTAGGACATGCGTTACGCATGCCTAGCTAATGATAACCTTCCTAGACAACGGGGAATGTTAGCTGACATAGGATGGATCAGGTTGGAAAAAAGTTAGCCAGTGGTGGTCGAAGCAAAACATAGTTTCATCAGTCAATGAAATCTACTACAGTTATTTGAAGCCAGCCAGTCAGTCACGTAGGGAGGTGTAGACTGTCCTCCTGGTTGCGGTCCCTGTAATTCCAACAACCAATGGTTGGAGATAATTGGTGATATGACTCAAAATCGTTCTCAATGAATGGAGCGGATACATTCAGTCTTTATGATTTACTATATCCAGTAAAACTCTAATCTTCTTCTTTCATATTACTACTCTTGTTGCCTCATATCTCTGTTTACTGCCTCTGTTTTTCATCTCCTTTTACTTTCTTCTCTTGATATGTGTGCTAAGTAAGGGTGTATGGCGACTTGAACTGCTGCACATCTTTGCAAAGTTCTACATTGAAACCAGTCAGTCAGTCATACAATGAGATAATATTTTCAAGTGTTAATTTGAAGGAATTTGATTGGTATTAGAGCTAAGAGACCACTGGAAACTACAAGGCACCGAATAGCTGTTTCGTCCTAAATGGGACTCCTCATCAGTAGTATGCACCCATGTTCCCATCATCTCAAGGGATCGAACCCAAGATGAGTCAGTTGACCACTCGAGCCACTTGGATGAAATCCAATACCCCATGAATTCTAACTTCAATGAATTGGCAAGATAGCATAAAGTATCATTAACATAAGTACGAAATACTATAACAAGTCTGACTAGCTGGCTGGTTTCAACATAGAACTTTGCACAGATGTGCAGCAGTTCCAGTCGCCACACTTCACTTAGCACACAAAGCAAGAAAAGAAAGTAAAAGGAAATGCAAAACAGAGACAGTAAACAGAGATATGAGGCAACAGCAATAATGATAAAGAAGGAGAATACAGTTTTATTGGAAATTATAAGTCACAAGGAGTGGATGCATCTACGCTATTCATTGAGAACAATATCGTGCCATAGCACTAATTATCTCCAGTCTTTATTGGTTTTTATCATCTCGACGAGGCCAACCAGGAAGTCTACACCTTCCTACGTGACTGGGTGGTTGGTTTAAACTAATTGTTTTAGTTTACAATGACTCCTGACCCACAACTAGCTAACTCTTTTCCAACCTTATCGATCGTATGTTAGCTAACATTGCCCATTTTCGAGGAAGGCGATGCTCTAACCATTTCTCCCAATCGATGTAACTTCTTAAACTCATCGATTGATTTCGCCTCCTTATCTAGCACTCGACTGATGGCTAACCTCAATATTCCTTCCTCCCAACCCTATTATACCACTTCACACGAGAGATAGAACGCAGGCACAGTCACAAGTAATCAGTTCATCAACCAACCACGTTTCAAAACAGACACCACAACAGTGAATATTAGGAAGGCAAAAAATGGAAATATTGTGGATAAATTCCTTTTAGGAGAATTGATTTTATAACTTTTACCATTTACTAGATTTTTAAAAAGAATAGACAAAACACCAGCTCACCAAAACCACAGTATACCACACATATATGTTTTATTAAAACTTTAAACTGCCGTATACTTTATACATAGAAAATATGAGAAAAGAGACACCGAAATTGAAAAACAGAACAAACACATATGTATATACACATAAAATATCGCACCCACGATTAGTTTAAGTTATCTCTGCCTGCATTAAACAAAGTCTTAATTTTATGTTATGACTGTAATAACACAAAGTATAGGAGATAATATAATCCAACTGCTTGAAAGAAGTTAGGAGCTACTTGAAATGAAAATAATGAACAATTCCAATGTGAGGGAATTGATCGAATTATTAGAAAGACGAGCCGGATAGCGACAAGATCCAGCTAAGAAGCCTTCAGGTCATCTGTTTTGGTTGTTTAAAAGTCAGTTCCTGGAATAGGGTATTTTTCATGTTGCAGGCTATGAGCCACACACACACACATTTATTATATGATGACTGATGATACCATCCAGTTGTGCAGGGATAAAACAGAATATAAGTGAAAAGCAAAACACCTAGTGTTCAACGAAGAGTCCTCCTTACGCCGGCGAATTTATTCCCTAAGGTGTACAATCGCAATTACATATATACTTATTTGTGTGTGTGTACATTAGGTTTTTCCGATAAGAATATCACTGGTCATTCCATTTCAACAAACGCCACCTTCAAAGTGATCTAGAAAGTGAAAATATAATCTAACAAAGGCAATAATACTTTTGTCTCCTTTGTATTGCTCAAGTTCTAGCCATTCAGTTTGAAAAAACCAGAGTTATATATACAAAAGAAAATCACCCGACGCCTACTACTCCCATGGTAACAACCATGTTAACTTCTACTGACTTGATGTTTGTCTGCTTGTTTTCTTATTCTAACTCCTGATAACATTTGTAATTTTGTAGAACTCCTACATAATTCCATATTTTACTTTTTTTGCTCTACATGCATCCTAATCACACTATTCATCCTATCACGTAACTGTATTACACTTATTCAACTTCTTTTATGGGTTGACTAACATTAATAACTATTTTTCACGACTTTGACCACGGATTGATATAAGTTCGGGAACCATTGAAAACCAGCACTGGAGTAGTGCACAGCTGTTTCATCCTAGTTTGGGAATCATCCACAGTACACACTTACTGGGGTTCGAAGTTAGAATTCATGGGCCATTGAATCGCGTCCCAGTGACTGAATGGTATACGAGCTAGCTCGCCTTGTAACCGGAAGGTCCTAGATTCGAACCCTGGCAGTGAGTGCGTTTGTCTGTTTTCAGCAAATAACTTTGCACTGATGTGCACCAGTTCATATCGTCACACTCCATGTAGCACACAATGCAAGAGAAGAAGGTAGAAGAAATGCATAATAGAGACAGTGAACAGAGGTGTGAAACAAAGGAATAGTAATAACGAAACACGATAAAGATCCATTTGAAATCAGAAGTCACAAGGAGTGGATGCATCTGTGCTAGCCAATGAGAACGATTTTGAGCCATATCACCAAGTATTTACAACCACTGGTTTCTACCGTCCCGAGGACCCCAACCAGTCAAGAGTCTACACCTTCCTACATGACTGGCTAGCTTAAACTAACTGTTGTAGATTTCATTGACTGATGAAGCCATGTTTTGGTTTGACCGCCACTAGCTAGATTTTTTCCAGTCAGTCCCTATATCAGCTAACATTGCCCACTGTCGAGGAAGGCGATAACTAGGCATACGTAACACATGTCCTAACCATCTCGGTCGATGTAATTTCACAGCCTCGTCGATTGATTTCCCCTGCTTACCTAGCACAGTGAGTGCGTACTGCCAACCTGGCGACCCCCATCATCAAACCAACGCTGGACACAAATAGACCACATAGCAATAAGCTATCGTTGGCGTGGGTCGGTAGGAGATTGTCGCTCCTTCTGGAACACGTGTGTAGATACCGATCACGCACTGGTCCGGGCTCGTGTGTGCTTACGACTGAACGGACGTAGGAAACAGCTGGCGGTAAAACCATCACGTCCCCAGCTCGATCAGGAAACTAAATCCCTATTTGAGGAAGAACTAGCTAAACGCATATCTGAATTCGACAGCTGTGCTCACCCTGGAGAAGCCTGGAAGAATATTCAGTCAGCTATAGATACAGCTGTAAAAGCTGTGAATAAGGCAAATCCAAAGGTGAGTAAAAACCACTGGATTTCGACTGCCTCATCCGAACTGATAGATGCTAGAAGACTTATTCCGGCGAGCTCCGAATTCAATGAGGAGCGAAAGCTGCACAAAAGGAAACTTACTAAAAGTCTCCGCAAGGACCGTGAACAGTGGTGGTGACAAAGGCGAAAGAGATGGAAAAAGCATCGGCGATAGGCAACACTAGGCAACTCTTTAGACTCATCAGAAACGGGTGGGAGAAGGCAATCATAAGTGAGACTATTTCTGAGAAAAATGGCTCCTTAATTAGCTCTCAGGATAGACGCCTTGAACGCTGGAAAGAACACTTTGAGGAACAATTTAACTTGCCTACAGCCACACTGAACCTCCCCGCCATCCACCACGTACCCGAATGGGATATAGACACTGGTCCGCCGTCTGTAGGTGAGGTTACAAAAGCTATCAGTAATTTGAAACGAGGCAAAGCGGCAGGACCCGACGGAATTATTCCGGAGGTGTTTAAATATGGGGGTGACATACTAGTTTGTAGATTAACTGAGGTACTAGGCAAAGTCTGGGAATCAGAGACAGTGCCATCAGACTGGGGTAAGTCACTTATTATACCGATATTCAAGAAGGGAAACAAGTCCTCGTGTGATAATCATAGGGGGATCAGCCTAACGAACATAGTCTCTAAAATCCTAGGCTCAGTAATCATGCATAGACTAAGCAGAACTCGGGAGGAACAGACAAGGGAAAATCAAGCAGGCTTTAGACCAGGTAGAGGGTGCATAGATCATATCTTCACTCTTCGACAGATTCTAGAACATAGACACACTTTTCGGCGTCCAACAATTGTCATATTTCTTGACTTGAAGGCGGCCTTCGACTCCGTGGATCGAAAGGTACTATGGCAATGTCTGACTGTGAAGGGAGTGCCAAGAAAGTACATTGCACTAATCAAGGCACTCTATTCAAACTCACGTAGTCGTGTAAGGGCTTATGGGGAATTGTCATCTGAATTGGTAACAACCAGTGGTGTCCGACAGGGATGTCCACTTTCCCCATTTCTGTTTAACTTCATCATAGATATGCTGATGGAAGTATCCTTAACTGAACGTAATGACTTAGGAATCGACTTGTTACCAGGGAATATTCTTATGGACTTAGAATATGCAGATGACATAGTCCTGTTAGGGGAGGATGCTGACAAAATGCAGAGTCTTCTGAACACCTTGAGCAGCAATCTTCGTATGTTTGGCATGCGATTCGCCCCTACAAAATGTAAGATGCTGCTACAGGACTGGACCACGTCAACTCCTAACTTAGTGATAGGGAGTGAAGTGATAGAACATGTTGACCACTTCACCTATTTGGGAAGTTGTATTAGCACCAACGGACTGATTGGCGATGAAATCTCAGCACGGATCCGAAAAGCTCGAGCTGCTTTCGCTGACTTACACCATCTCTGGCGTAGGCGTGACATCCGGTTATCAACCAAGGGACGTGTGTACTGCTCATCAGTTCGCTCCGTCCTTCTCTATGGCTCTGAAACATGGCCAATACGCGTTGAAGACATGAAAAGGTTGACTGCTTTCGATCATAGATGTCTGCGATCTCTGTCTCACGTTAGGTGGTTTCACAAGGTAAGTAATGTTGACGTTAGGCGTAGAGTGTTGGGCAAAGAGGGAAAATCAATCGACGAGGCTATAAAGTTACATAGACTAAGATGGCTAGGTCACGTGCTGCGCATGCCTAACCACCGCCTCCCCCGACGGGCATTGCTAGCTGATATAGGTTCAGGTTGGAAAAGAGCCAGTGGTGGCCAAACAAAAACATGGCCTCATCAATCCATGAAATCCTTGACAGTTAAACTGAGTCAGGTAGGGAGATGCAGACTCCCGGGTTGGGGCCCTCGGGACTCTAGGAATCAATGGCTGGAGACAATAGGTGACATGGCTCAAAATCGTTGTCAATGGCCAGCGCATATGTATTCAGTCTCTGTAATCTTTCATATTCCTTTCTACCATTACCCATTCTGTTTCACTCTTATACTTGTCAAACTCTATTGATTCTCTTCACTCATCTTCTTGTCTACCTCTGTGTGCTATTTGGAAGGTGGCAACTCGAACTGGTGCACTTCGGTGCCAAGTTCTATGTTGAATCCAGACAGACAGAATGGTTCGCAAACTAGGATGGAACAGTTTTCAAGTACTCCTTGCTGGTTTTCAATGGTTCTCTAACGGATATCGATGCGTGGTCAAACTTGAAAAGTAGAAAAACAAAACTAATCCTTACAAACCAACTCCTGAAAATTAATAACTATGTTTTTATGACAACACATCACCACTACTCTCTTATCAATCTTCACCCTCATTCCCCACTATAGTTACAATTTGACTACTCATCACATTTTCAAGACGTCTTGACAACAATAACCCTAACTCATGTTTATTCTTATCGTACAAACCTAGTGTACACACACATACAAAAATAAGTATATGCGTAATTGTGATTGTACAGCTAAGTGAAGAAAACGGACTCTCTGCTGAACACTATGTGTTTTGTTTTTCATTAATATCTGAATGGGGATTATTCATGAATTAAGAGAATATAATCACCCAAACTTTGAATATATATTTACACATCTGAAAAGGATTATTCACACAGGATGATATAAAAACCACAAGAATGAAGTTTCTCCTTCATAAAACGACATATATATAGAAAATAAATTTACCTTGGTGCTTCAAGACATATATCCGGAAAAAGTGATTGGATAAAACCACCCATATTAGGAATTTACATGTATATATATATGTATATGTGTATATATATTTTAAGGAGAAGGCATTGAAAAGCAAACAAGTGACAGTGTGGCTTACCAATTCGATGGAAGTGTCCGACTGTATGTAGGTTATACACGAAATAGATAAATAATATTCAAACTAAAGAAAAGGTTTTATGCGATATATGTGTATATGTATAATTTGAAATATACAGTTTTGATATGGACGGAAAAAAAAGGAACGGACAAACCCACACACTCGCACCCCACTGAAAACTACTGAATGAAGATCATTTGGGTGGGGTTTCTTTCCCTGCTTAGTCTGAAATCTGTCAACACACATGTTTCATATTTTATATGGCATAAAATAGACCTACAGAAAAACTTAGAGGATCTGAATTTCGTCGATGATATATGTGTCTGATTTCCCACTAACTGGAAGATATGCAAGAGAAAAGCAACAAGTTGGCGACAGAAGAAGCATCAAAAATAGGACTTCAGGTGAACATACAGAGAAAACATAGGTAATGAAAATACCCGGCCAACAGCAACAGTAACAACCGCAACAACAAACAACAATCAGCACAAATGGGAGAAATCTGAAAGAAGCAACCTTCTTCACCTACCCACCTACCTACTTGGGAAGCATCGTTTCAATTACAGGCTGACGGAACTGATGAGGATATCAATGTGAGGACCAGGAAAGCAATGCAAGCTCTTAGAACTCTCAGGTCTGTGTGGAGACCAATGGTATTCAGCAGGAAAAATAAGATCCGGATTTCGAACTCCAGTGTAAAATCACTCAGTGCTACCATACGGATTAGAGACTTCGCGCCGTGTCACGAAGACCCCTTCGAACAAACTACAGACTTTCATCAACAGCTGTCTTCGCTCAATACCACTCAAGATCAGACGGCCAGAAAAGATCAGCAACAGAGATCTCTGGGAGCGAACCAACGAGGAACTGATTGTGCAACAAATATGCAGGAACGACTGGAGGTGGATTTGCTATACTCTGAGAAAACAAACCATCAAATGAAATCACACGCCAGGCCATCGCTCGAGTGGAACCCGGATGGGAAGTGGCGAGTTGGTCGTCAGTGCGAGGGTGACATGGAGGAGGTGATGCGAAGAGGAGATGAGGGCATGTGGGCAGACGTGGAGCCAGGTGAAAACGTTGCCGGAGAACCGAATGCAATGGAGATGTGTGGCTGAAGCTCTACGTTTCTCTAGGAACTAAAGTAAACAATAATAATAGTAATAGAAGTCATTACATGTCGGTTACAAAACACTTTACTTAATCTAATCTTTACACAACGCAACTGTGAATAAATGACAAGGATGTGAACATAGAGCTTCAACAACACATCTCCACTCTGTTCTATTTTCTGCTGTCCTCTTCAGCTGGCCGACCGCACGACTGTCTATAATCTCTCATCTCCTCGCCACACGACCTCCTCCATGTCACCCTTGCACCGACAAACCACTCGTCGCTCCCCATTGGCATTCCACTCGTGAGACGGGCTGTATTGCGCACGATGTCATTCAACGGACTCCTCATCGTATGCCCAATACATCCCCATTTTCTCCTGCAATCGGTTCTTCGTTGGTCTGTTGCCGGAGTTTCTCGCTACTAATTCTTTCTGGCCATTTGACCTTCAGTATGGAGGCATCGAAGGTGGCAGCTGTCGGTAAAAGTCTGCAGTAGCGTGTTGGAAATCCTTTGCCAGACACACTGGCCAATGTTTGGTCCGTATAGAAGGACCGACTTCACGTAAACATCCCCAAAAGAAACTGAGATAAGCCTTCGACATCTGTTCCACAAGACCTAAAATGAAGACAATATCGCAGAGTTATCCCAATTAACACAACAGTTCAGACAAAAACTGTTGAAAGGCAGATGGGAAACAGTATTTGTTTTCCATGATAGACGTTAACCTTCCACTGTTGCTTTCAATAGTAACATTTCATGAATAAAAATAAATCATCATCATCATCATCATCATCATCATCATCATCGGGAAGACAATACTTCCAGTTTGCATAGTGAATCCATAAAAATAGAAAAAATATAAAGTTATATAGGCAATGCGGGGGTGTGGGGTGAGACAACAAGTACAACAAAGATGATACACTTTTTCTTCTACTGTTATCACTATCTTACTTTGTGATTGATTGACACGGGACACGACCCATGCAAATAGATTGATGAGTGATTGACGATCATGGACAGTTGTTTCAAAAGTCCCTGCTACTGCATAGAAGAAAAAAGGAAAATAAAAGGGGTTGGGGGTCAGTTATATTCATTGTCAAAACAAAATATTTATTGAAAGGTTAAATAATATGTGGTGTAGTGATAAAGTTACTTATAAACTTTCCCCTAATCACTTAATAAGATGAATACTGCATTTTAAAGGATACACAACCATTGCAAGTTATCTGATAACTACTGCTGGGTGTTTCTCAGGGTCCTCCTTTTACGAAGGAAGCCACGTGTCACTTACTTTCCACTGTTAGCCTGAATAGATTTCTCATGTGCCAGATTATGGTGATACTACCCAGTGGCCCAGGTTGAGAGAGTTGAAAATGGACTTGAACCCGAAACCGACTGGTTGAAAATCAAGTCTACAAAACAACTACCAATGTCTTCAGACCTAAACATGATCGACACGAACTGGTCAGTTTACAAGACGCTTGTAGCATACAGGGTACTGAAATAGAAAGTAAGTCAAGCATAAAATACATTGGAATAGTTCTATTCTCTGACCTTTCTTGGTCGATTATCCCATATTTTGTTGATTTCTAACCTACTACGCATTAAGAAGATAAGACAATCTGGAATCATTCAACCTCCACTTTCACAGCTTGTTAACTCTTGCATCTTACTTATTGTTCTTTACTGCTCCCAACCTCCTTAGTGTTTTCTGGGTTACTCAAAAAGACATTTTGTCATATTGCGAAGTGTATTAAAGGTTGTCAGTAGGACAAAGGGTGTTATTAATGTAGTCGAGAGACAACCGAATTCATGTGAGAAATACACAAAATCCATATTGCCTAACTTTCAACACCACCTCACTCTACTCACAACTCTCCCCTCCATTTGCATCTCATCACGTAGGTAGGACTAGAAGTCATAATATGAAAGATTATATGCTCAGACAGCTAAGTACAAATACTCAACGGTACCACCATATTTGGCTCACGTTCTATGTGACAAAGATAATGTTAACTGTGAAACTAAGACTGTCTGTCTGTCTGTCTGTTTTCGACATAGAACTTTGCACAGATGTGCGGCAGTTCAAGTCGCCACACTCCATGTAGCACACAATGCAAGAGAAGAAGGTAGAAGAAATGCATAATAGAGACAGTAAACAGAGGTGTGAGACAAAGGAATAGTAATAACGAAGAAAAATATAGTTTTATTGGATATTATAAGTCACAAGTGGATGCATCTGCGCTAGCTATTGAGAATGATTTTGAGCCATTTCACCAATTATTTCCAACCGCTGGTTTTTACCGTCCCGAAGACCCCAACCAGGAAGTCTACACCTTTCTACGTGGCTTAAACTAACTGTTGTGGATTTCATTGACTGATGAAGCCATGTGGTTTGGTTTGACTGCCGCTAGCTCTTTTCCAACCTGACCCTATGTCACCTAACATTGCCCGTCGAGGAAGGTGATGACTAGGCATTCGTAACATATGTCCTAATCATCTCAGTCGATGTAATTTCACAGCCTCATCGATTGATTTCCTCTCCTTACCTAGCACTCGACCGATGTCTAACTTCAATATTGCTCATCCTATTATACCACCACGTAACACGGGAGATAGGATGCAGGCACCTTTGATGAAAGACAGCTAATCTTTTCATGACTTCCTCTCTCAATGGCCAGGTGTCTCTCACAGCCATAAAGGAGTACGGAGCGGACTGATGAGCAGTACACCCGCCCTTTGGTCGATAGCCAGCCGAATATCACGTCTACTAAGCCAGAGACGGCGTAAACTGGCATATGCAAAACCAGCCCTCTGTATCCGTGCTGAGATTTCGTTGGAGACCAAGCCGTTGCCGTTGGCTGATAGTGCTTCCCAAATAAGTGAAGCGGTCAACGTGAAACTCAGAATTTACTTACTATGTAATCAGTAATAATAATTGGCTCTTTTATCTTCTCCTAATTGTAATTTATGGTGACACTATTCCAATTAACTTAGAACTTTAGTTATAAACATAATTATACTATCCTTTTACACCTTTTTGTGTGTACTTTTTGGACGTTATTATTGCCACTGCTTTTGCCAAAAAGGTGGCTATTATCAATTTTTGGTTACCTATAATACCCTGTAATGATCATTTTGTTGTTGTTGACTTGAGTAAATTAGATACAACAGTATTGCACCAAATGCTAAGAATTCCATACAGCACCATAAGTGCTGTTTTTCACATAAAGCAAATTATTATTATTATTATTAAAAACACTATTGTCAATCCACTAATCAATTTTGGTAAGTAACACATCTAGTGAGAAAGAGTGACCAGTAAAATTAACAAAATCATAAATAATAACATCCATTCACTTGTCAGTAGTAGGTGACAACAGTAGCGCACACAGCAGATTATAATTTTTTTATTTTTGATTACAGCTTGATTCCACACTATATTTTCGGTACAAGTATGGAATTTTCAGCATGTGATATCGGTAGCCCAAATGTCGCAGGCCGACCATAGCTATCAGGGGTGCGTCGGCAGGGATTCGAACCTCGGACCATGTTCATGGTCGGCGAGAGTCCTAACCACTGTACACCGTTAGCGATTGAATCTATGACAGGATTTTTAGCTTGAAGCTTTTGAAGCCCCAATAATTCTTACCAGATTCTTATGCTCTATCATAGAATAATTTTATTCGGGAAAACACAAACAAACTCCAGTGGGTGAGTACTGGAGTTGAGTAGATTAGATACAACAGTATTGCACCAAATGCTAAGAATTCCACGCTGTATCATAAGTATTAATTTCGCATAAAGCAAATCATTATCATGACGATTATGAATAATAAAAAAAAAGAGGAGAGGAGTAAAAGTGATCTAATGGGAATGAAGCTTCTCTATCTCTCTTATTAGCCTTAATCATTTTCGAAAACGGAAATAGCAATCACATCGGATTTCATCCTATATGAGTGAAAGGGAATATACAAATATAATAATAATACATATTTACGTGTATTGATTAGGAAAATTCAAAAAAAAAAGTAAACAAATCAATATTTTCAAGGTAATTACAAAATTAATAGGGTAAAATATACATAGGATCGATTCTATTAATAATAATATTATATTATATTTTATCATACAACCAACATAAAGATTGATGCTAGATGAGATGAATGGATGGATAGATCGACAGACAGACAGATAAAACTGTGACACTACAGGAAGAAAGGAAACCTTTCTCTATATACCATAAAAGGTTTCCAATCGTTCTCTAACCAATCGCAGCTCATGATGAAATCCTCCAACCAATCAAACTAAATCCCTACAAAAACTAATACTTGAAAATTCATCTGATGCTCACTAGCGACTAGTCCTATTCAGACAGGAACCTGGAGTTCTATTGGGATGCCGTGACCAGTAGGGTACAGCAGGCTGAAGATGAGGGCAGTTACTCATAGAAGAAGACATCCCCAAGTGATCGCACTATGTCATGAATTGGCAGAAGTTGGAATTCATGGACTGGCCATTGAATCGGCTCCCAGTGACTTAATGATTTACGAGCTTGTCTTGTAACTGGAAGGCCATGAGTTTGAACCTCAATGGGTGCATACTGCCACGAAGTCTCAAACTAAGACGATACAGTTGTGTCCAGTACTGTCTTCTGGCTTTCAATGGTTCTCTACATGATATCAATCCTTGGTCAAACTTGAAACAAATTAAATCAAATCCCTACAAACAAACTCTTGAAGATTTTTTAATTGAATTTTAGATTTCCCCGTCGATTGATTGAACCGAAGTGCTCGGTCTTAGGTTGACAGGTCGACTTCTTCTGAAGATGCTTCGACGATGTCTGGGCATGTAATTAGAAGTTAATTGTTGGATGGATGATGACTAGCATTGGATAATAATTAATATGACCCGCTGCACAAGAGGTGGCCAGCTCTCGTGGCCCAAGTGGTCTAGTGGATAACGCTTTGGCGTTTTTTGAAACCATGGGCATTGAGTTCGAGTCTCAGTGGTGGAAACATCATCACTCACTGACTGCGGAATGCATGTACATCCAACTGACTAGCGAGTCTCAAACAGGACGAAATGCGCTTTATCCTGGATTCCACTGCTAGTCACTGTTCACCAATTAAATTCTTGGAGATTTTATTGCTTGCATTTGTGGGAGGAATCAGTCGTCGTAAAGATGATGACATATATTTTAGGTATGATGTAGCGAGCGTCGGTGGCATAGCGGTTAGGGTGCTCGCCAACCATGCACATGGTCCGGGGTTCGATTCTCGGCCACGGACGAACTCCTTTATCTCGCTATGCCAGAAATAATGCTGGTAAAGAGGAAAGGTTGGGCATAAGGTTAGCAACCCGATCCCGTAAAATTAAACACTGTTACAGAAACTCCAAGCCACTAGCTTGAAGCTCTATGTCCCATTGGGGGACGTGAAGGAAAAGAAAGAAAAATGATGTAGCGAACCAGAGGAAAGAAGTCCTCTATCTGACGTGTTTTTTGGAGTAATAACCAAGACATGTTTATAATCTGTGAGAAACGTATTTTTCACTTATAATAAAGCTAGGATTATACCATTTATATACTGAATAACAATGGATCACAGTAATTTCGATAAACAATTGTACAGCCTTACATAAAACACAAGCCCAACCAGTATATTTCAACCCTTATCATAATACATAAACCAAATGTAAGCATTAATTTTCGTGACTGTTGAGAGTAGTTTACAATCTCTTAGATTAAAGTGCAGTTAAATTCAACCAAGTTGATATAAATAGATATTGGCCTAACAGTTGAGTTAATCAAATCTCAAGAAGAATGAGGCGCTAATTAATTTATAGACTACATAAAATACTATGTAACTGAGTGAGCATTATTCATTTAACATTTCTCAACTAATAACACACTCAACATGTACACGTTGTTTGTATTGAACGTGTACGTGTACAAAGTAACACGTTGTTAGATTTCAGGAAAACCATCTATTATCTGAAAAATTTAAAATACTTTCGAAGTTTCGATAATAACCTCTGATATTACAGAAATGATAAGTAAGAAAGTGTGTTAGGATGGGTAAGTGGTTAGTGCGTTCAACTCGACATCCAATGAGACTTTCCTATGGATTTTTGAATCCTGTTTCTAATGTAGTGAGCTTTTACATATACTAGAACATAGGCACACTTATTAGCGATTAACGTTTACCAGATTTCTTTACTTGAAGATGGTATTTGACTCTGTCAACCGAGAAGTGTTGTAGCAATGTCTGGCAGTGAAGTGAATGCCAAGGAAGTATGTGTCACTAGTCAAGGCACTCTACTCGAAGTCACTCATCTGAAGTGATGACACTCCTAATAGTGTCCATAACGGATGTCCACTATCCACATTTTTGGTTAATTTCACCAAAGATATGCTGATGAGATTGCCCTAACTGAATTCAACAACTTGGGGATTGAGTTGTTACCAGGGGACGGTATGCTGATGATATTGTCCTCCTAGGCGAAGATACTGATGAAATGCAGTCTTGTGAATACCTTGAGCAGAAACCTTCGAATATTTGGTATGCAATTTGATCCTGTCAAATTTAAGATGATGACACAAGAGTGGAATACATCGACTTTTAGGTAAAAGATAGGGAGTAAAATGACTAAGCCTGTTGACCACTTCATTTATTTGAGAAGTTACAGCAGCCTCAATGGATTGATTGCTGATGAAATCTCAACACGGATACAGAAAGCTCCTTTGATATTTGCCAACCTACGTCACCTTCAGCGTAGTCGTGATATCTAATCATCGATCGAAAGGTGTATGTACTGTGCAGCAATTTGCTGTGTCCTCAACTATGGTTGTGAGACAAGGACATTGAAAGTGGCTGGTTAGCTGTCTTTGACAGCAGATGTTCGCATTCCATCTTCAATATCAAGTGGGATAATATAGTGAGTAACACTGACGTAAAGCGTCGAGTGTCAGGTAAGGAAGGTAAGTCAATCAATGAGATCGTGAAACTACATCTATTGAGAACGGTTAGAACACGTATTACACATATCGAACCACCAGTTCCCTAGTCGACATACTATTAGATTAGAAGAGGGTTAAGGATGGTCAAGTTAAAACATGGTGACAGTCAACGTAGTTTTTGACTGTTAGTTTGAGACACATAAGGTGTAAATTGCCTGGTTATGGTCCTCAGGAGGCTGAGAACCAATGGCTTGTAACCTGGTGTTATCGTTGGAACTTATACCTATATACTAGATGTAATTCATTATTGATTCCAGAAGCACAGATACATATCCATACTTCATCTCTACTTTTTGCCGTTTGGCCTTTTTTTCTCAAGTCGTACGGTACTAAAAGATCTGAGTTCGGTTCTCATTCGTTAAATACCTTTTCTCATCAACTTCCGCTTGATGTACATGATGGAAGTGTGGAATATTGGACCATTATGCATTAATGTTATGTTCTATAGTGGAATATGTCTGACCCAGATAAACATTTTGCAGCTGAAATAAAGAACATGACTATTTATTCTTAGGTATTTTCAGATATGAATACAGTACAAACCAAACAGGTAGTTACAGCTTTTTAAATTGTGCTTAAACCTGTAGAATGTCTGAAAATAGATGTAAATTAGTGGATAATGAAGAAGAAAAACCACTTGGCCACACTACTCAACTTTTTTAAAAACATCAAAGGTTATCTACTGTTGACAAAAAGCATTAGAATTCTTTAACCGGTGTTTTAATTTTTGAAAAAAATTAACATTTTCCAATCAATACTGAGAGGTGATAGTCAGAATATTTGCTACATTGTTCAGTTTTTGAAATATTTTCTCGACCAAACACATATCACTCATTTCAGCCACGGAACTTCTCGTCGTTACTTAGCGACCATATGTATGCGCTTAGGTATAAGCCACATATATTGTATGAAGTTAGTTGATTTCCTGAAATCCAATTTAATTTTATTCCTTTGAGTTCTGAGTGGGACATTAGGCTTTAAGCTTGAGCTTTGTAGTCTTCATAGCAGTGGTTTTGTTTTCACGGGGTGGGGTTGCTCAACCTTCCCTCTTTACCGCGCCTAATACCAGCTTAGCGAGGTTCAGGAGTACATTGACCGGCGATCGAACCACGGACAACATGCGTGGTTGGCGAGCATTTTACCACTGTACCACCAACGCATATAGTTTGGGACAAGCTGCAGGAAGCTGTGAACCTAACTTTTGTGCTTGCTAACATTCGTAAGCGAGGTGTGTCTGCGATCTTCAAGGAATTCAATGTTGTCTCTGAGATTCGGACACGCGTCACTCAGTGCTGTAGTCAGGGACATTACCACTGAGGTATTCAGGCTAGCAGGACAGAAAGAGACGGTCCAACCTCAGACCCACTGACTGAAAATTGAACGCTTACAAAAATGATCCACAGTTCCTGAACTACACATTTCATCACTGTTTTATATCACGTTGTGTCGGAAATTTTTAAATTCTGTTTCACAGATGAAGGAACATTTTACCCATTTACTCAGAATTAAATGCAATACAATCACAGTATCATTACCTTTTTCATATTGAGTCCACCGAGAAACTTCTGTTGTATCTAGAGTTATATCCCTAAGTTTATCGACTTTGTGACAACACAGTACTACGCATAAGTCACGTTTTTCACGGTGCTTGTCAATCTAGAAAAAAATAAATAAGCACTCAGAATCACAAAGATTTACGTCTTGCTTCAAATTTTGTACTGCAGTGAAAGATTTCGCATCGCTTACATCATACACCAAAATAAATGCATCAGCACAATTCACGAAATGTCGCTCAACTTTTGTGGTTCCCCCAAGATCATAAATTCGAACTTTTTCTTTGGAGCCACGATCTGTCTCAACAACAGCATTATAGGTATCTTCAGATGTAGAAACCTAGAAAGTAGTCGTTTAAAAAGTGGAGTTAGTATATATATGACGCATGAATCGAGATATGAACAATGTCAACAGAATTAAAAAACTTTGACAGCTTCAAACAAATAAGTTTTGCTCATTAAACCAATATTGGCTGACATCTATAAGAAACAATCTTAATGTATTAATTCTATCAAACTTAAAACATTAGATTATAAATGCGTTAATATCAGTTACTGGTACTAATGCTTAAAATCAGATTTTTTTTATTATTTATTTTTCCTTTACGTTCCCCAGTGGAACAAAGGGCTTCAAGCTAGTGGCTTGAAGTTTCTGTAACAGTGTTTAATTTTACAGGATCGGGTTGCTAGCCTCATGACCAACCTTTCCTCTTTACCAGCATTATTTCTGGCATAGCGAGGTAAAGGAGTTCGTCCGTGGCCGGGTATCGAACCCCGGACCATGTGCATGGTCGGCGAGCGTCCTAACCGCTATACCATTGACGCACATTTAAAATTAGATGCATAGAGATAAAAAAAAGCACTATAATGTTGCAAAAATAAACTTCAAACAATCAATTATTGCAAATGAAGTGTAAAAGGAGGAATAATATCATTTACAATAAATTTGTGTACCTAAAGGATAATCCTACAAGGAGACAAAACATTGAGCATTCATGAATAACGATTTAAACTGGAAGTCAGCTCTCTGAAAGAATCCAACTTATTCATATTTCCATCCCCATATTGCTACTAAGGTACGTTTTACGGTTAAAAAATGCATACATTCTAAATTCCAGCTACAAAATTTAATTTTTTTCCTTCACGTTCCCCAGTGGAACAAAGGGCTTCAAGCTGGTAGCTTGGAGTTTCTGTAGTAGTGTTTATTTTACAGGATCGGGTTGCTAGCCTCATGACCAACCTTTCCTCTTTACCAGCATTATTTCTGGCTCAGCGAGGTAAAGGAGTGCGTCGGCCGGGGATCGATGGATCGCCTGTCCAGGTCAACTAAGGAGGGGCGCACAACATTTAATAATGGGTGAATTTTTAAAAAATGACTGGAATCATTCAAGTTTTAGCTTCAGTTGTGATAATCAGTTTGAAAGACCATCAGCAAACCTTAACTCAAATTTTCGCCACTTAAGTTTGATCTTCATAAGCTCTTAAGATTACTTTATTGAAGTACTTATCTATTCGTCGCCACAGCACTTTATGAACAAATCTTAAATGCTATTTGTTTTTCTGCGCACATGTTTATTGTCCCAACTTTTCAGAGATATATTGATACATGATTTCAGAGAAAAAATGCAGAAATCTCATCTGTACGATGTTATGCACTGCAACTGATGATTTCAGAAGGATTGAACCAGCCCGATTCTTAAACTACAACCAGGTACACTGGTTTTAAAAAGATTGCTTTAGCACAGATCAGCACCCCCATGTAGAGGACAGTAGTGATATTCAGTGATAAGGAATCTTCCTAAATATAAAACTACATTGCTGAGAGACAAGATCTCCATGAATAAAAACGAAATAATACCGGTATACTTAAAAGAGCTTATGTACCAGAACGTCCTCATTATTAGGAAGCTTTGCAACACAATGCGATATGTGTGCTATGCGGGAAACTGCCAGTCTAGAAAACAGCTCGAGAAGCACTAACAGTGCATCCTAAAAGACTTCCCTCGCTTATGTAACCCATAAGTAATGCATCAGTACGACATAGGCCTTAAGGCAATGAGCACTTATTGATTTGGTGTTCCAGCCACAAAGAACACCGGATGCAGTCTAACAAACTTAAGTCGCAACTTAGTTGACTGTCTCTAAGACTAAACACTGCAACTGCTTCGGATTGGCTCAAAATGAACGACATTAGCAAAAGATGCATGAGTTGACAAAGTTAAAACCATGGCAGCGCATCTACATACCTGTAACTCTAATTGGTTGCCAGTCATGCACTGCTGTAGTTTACTTTCGCCAATGGATGCATACCACAACCGGGAAGTTAAACAAATCATTTGATCTATATTGTTTATCGTAGAGTGAGGATAAGAGATGCAGACAAATATGATCACTGTTTAGAAACTCTGCCAAATCTTTGGGGAAAATTTTTGGTTGTTCTGGGGAATATGGAGCCTGAAGTTATTTAATCACATATGATTAAAATTTTTTGATTATTTATTTTATTTTTATTTTTGATCACAGCTTGACTCCACACCGTATTTTTGGTACAAGTGTGGAATTTTCAGCGTGGATATCGGTAGCCCAAAATTCTCAGGCCGACCATAGATACAGGTGTGCGTCGTCGTGGACTTTCAGAAAGAAATACTATAATGTATTCATAAAAATCCCTGGTTTATGTTCTATAGTTGAACCACATTAAAAAACTGAAACACGATCGACCTAAAAGACCTCTATAAATACATCTAGAAGTACTGAATCAGTAAAATTATCAGAAAAAAATAATCGAAATGAAAAACCGGGACTCCATCACTACTTACGAAGTCATCAGGTTGTCTCTCAAAATAATTTCCATATATGCAGTGTTCAATTAGAGAGGTTTTCCCACTACCCACAGGCCCACAAACCACCAATTTCGTAATCTTACCCATCAAGTAAATAAACCAAACACCCCGCACACGTGAAGGTCACTCCGGATTCAATATCCAATATCGTTTTTACGAGCTAGTATAAACCAATTTGATTTCTTTGTGCTCGCTTCTTGATTGTGAGGTATAGGTTCTTGATCTTCGGTAAACTTCTGCGTAGCTTGTCCCGCCACTCGACTGTCGTAGCTTTGGTTGACTCCAAAGGGAGTAGTGCTGGGATTAATTATATGTGGTTTGTAGTATGAGGTATGTTAAGACTGTTACTACTGTGATTGGAGTTGATCCTTTCGCCAGTTAGTCCTTCGGTATTGTCGACAAGAGAAAAGAGATAGTAATAATAATAATAGATATAATTAGTGAAGCTATTCAGACTAAGAGACAGAAACGAAAATAGGAAACGTAACAACAGTCAGCTCATTAAGTTTGAAGAATAATATATATATCGGTAATAGTAATAATAATAATAGTAATTATAATATTAATAAGTTGTCAGGAGAGTAAGACGGGAGAGAATGTAAAGAAGTAAAATGACGAGTTTAATTATCTACCCTGATTGGTAAATGCGATTTTAAGGAGATAGGCCATTTGGATGCAGTCCTTGTATCGCTGCATGGTTGTCCAGCCTTCGCTTAAAGGCGTCCAAAGACGGTGCCATAGCTACATCTGCCGGTAAGGAATTCCAGGGACGACAAACCCGCAGTGAAAAGAAGTGGGAGCGCACCCGGGTCCTTGCCCTCTGGTGAGCTATCCTTCTGGGATTTCCACGTGGAAGCCTATACCTACTCAATGGCAGAACACCTTTGTTTGGGTGATTCTGGTCATTTGTTATTTTGTAGGCAGTAATCAAATCCCCCCTAAGCCGACGGTAACTAAGTGTGAACAGGCCTAATTTCTTCAGCCTTTCATCATATGGTTTGTTTCGGAGACCAACCACTCCTTTTGTTGCCCGTCGTTGGACTCTTTCCAAGAGGTTGGCATCTCTTCTCAGCATTGGGGGTGCAATAATATTATGCACCTCAAGGTGTGGCCTGACGTATGTTTTGTACAACATTAGAAAGAGCTCAGGAGTGAGTGCACCTAACTGTCTATGCGTAAAGTGTATGACCGCATATGCCCTCGCTACATCCCCTGTGTAATTTACGCTTGTGTCCATTTTTTCCGTTAGAACTAGACCTAAGTCGCGTTCCGACGTTGTGCAGGACAAGCTTTCATTGCACAGGGTGTAACTTGCATTCTGCAGTCTACAGGTGCGCAACTTCACTACTTTGCACTTTTTCAAGTTGAAAGTCATGCCACTGGCCACCGCCCAGTCTTCCAGAAGGTTTAGGTCTTCCTGTAGCCTATCTGAGTCCTCCGGACACTTTATCGCCCTCCATATTTTTACGTCGTCAGCGTACAGGAGAGTCGGGCAGCTCAGACGGCGTGGTAGATCATTGATGAAAATCAAAAACATCAGTGGTCCTAGGATAGAACCCTGCGACACTCCTGATGACGATCTGTGCCAAGATGATCGGACTCGGTTAACCTTAGTGCAAAATTGCCTGTCGGCTAGGTAGTCCTTCAACCATGACAGAAGTGGCTCACCTATGCCTGCCTGGTTTATTTTATGTAGGAGAAGGTCATGGTGAACAGTGTCAAATGCCTTCTCAAAGTCTAGGAAGACCACATGGACTGGTACGTTCAAGTCCCAGCATGATGTCCAGTCGTCCCAAGCTGACAGTAGGTTAGTGACGCAGGATCTGCCTTTTCTGAAACCATGTTGGGCTTCATGTAGTATATTAGTCCTATCGAAATATTCCCTGATGTGGTCGTCAATAATACTTTCCAGTACTTTTGATACCACTGGGAGTAGAGCTACTGGTCTATAGCTAGCAGCGTTTTGCCTGTCCCCACCCTTGAAGATTGGAGAAAGGATGGCTCTTTTCCACTCCCTTGGCAGGGTCCCCGAATCCATTGAGTGTTGGAACAAGTCGCACAGGGGTCTACAGAGAGCCTCGGCGCACTGTTTCAGAACAGATGGCCTGATGTCATCACAACCTGGGGACTTCCCAGGTATGAGTCGCTGTAGCTTCCTTAGTACTATTGCGGGGTTTATTTGGGGAGTAGTCGCTAGGTCTTCCTCCTCTGAAATAGTGGTGCCACCATTTTGGTCCGTAACTGTAATATCCACATTGCTGTTTAGCTGTTTAGCGAAGGCTGAACTGAATGTTTCAGCCATCTCCAGACTAGTGAGATATTGACCGTTTGGGCCTACTAAGGCGCATGCCCCTTGGTTTGTCGGTTTTCTTTCCGACATGAATCGGTACAAGTTTTTAGGGTTTGATAGGAGTTTTTTAGCAAGGTTAGCCTGGAATGACCTTCTGTCCCTCCTGACTCTTGCATTACACCGGTTCCTGAGTTCGAGGTATGCATCATGGTCGGTCTGACTCTTAGATACACGCCACGTAAACCAAGCCTTCCGCTTTGCTTGCAGAATACGTTGCGTGCCTCTCTTCAACCATGACGTCTTTCTCTTAGGCTGTGTTGTGACTAAAGGGACGGTATCCGAGATTGCTGTATGGATAATCTTTTTTACCACTTCCCAGTGTTCATCCACAGATAGGTCGTCCCATGCTAAGGGCCAGTCTGCGTCGGACAAGAGCCTCCGCATTTCAGCATAGTCAGCCTTGCTGTAGCACAGACATGGTCGCGTAACATCCCATTGCAAACGCTCACGGAGGACAAGATCGAAACCTATGACTGCATGGTCACTGCTTCCCAGAGGAGTCATGATCTGGACCTTTTCGACGAGTAGCTGGTCACTAGTTAGAATATAATCTAGTTTTGATGACTTTCCACTAGGGCCCCACCTAGTGTCGTCTCCAACATTCTCAGTCAGTCCCGTGTTTCGAATAGTTTGCAGTAGGTTTCGGCCAAATTTTCCCTTAGCACACCCGGAGCCGAGGTTCAGTGATGGAGCATTGAAATCTCCAGCTATGGTGATTTGGTCGTAGCCCAAATCTCGTATTCCTGTGATAGTGCTGAGCAGTAGCTGATTGTGCTCTGCCCCACAGGTGGGAGATCGGTAGATGCCACCCAGTAAGTGCTTGGTGTGGCCTACGGTGAAATGACACCATATGGAGTCTGGGAGTTCGATAAGTGGTGGGTCCGTTGCGCGCACACATTTAAGTTGCCTATCAAAGTATATAGCAACTCCCCCTCCTTCCTTATTATCCCTGTCTCTCCTGACCAGTACCATATCACCTATACTGATTTCATTGTCGGCGATAGTGGGGTTTAGCCACGTTTCAGTAAGAATGATTATTTTCAGTTGAAGGTGTGCTTGGAGATTTCGAAGTTCACCTACTTTCCCTCTCAGCCCCCTCACATTGCTATATAGGCAACTGACAGTGAGTCTAACAACCTCAGAGTGTTGTGGGGTAGTTGACGTGAAACCGTCTGCTGGTGGGGGACTTGATGTTGGAACTAGTTGGCCGATTCCGATAGAACCGGCCCGTTGTAGTTTTTTTCAATGGATTTAGGCAGGACACTTGGGAGACACAGACTATTATTCTCAGAGCTGCATCGCTCTAGTGTCACCGAAGCTTGGGGTCGTATTAAAGCCTCAGTTTGCTGCCTCCTTATATTTCTGGGTCTGCTTTCACAGCATCGGATGTGTCCTCCAATTTTTCCCTTGGTCTCATACCACCGTTGAAGTGATATGGACAACTGCTCCGGGGAGTTGAATGTGACACACAGCAGCTTTGGAGAGTTAATCAATGTTAGATGAGCGGGACGAGGTAGTCGGAAAATGGAGATGGCTCCAGAAGCGCCAGGGGCCATCTGAGATGACAGCCATCTCCATTGTTGTACGTCGTGCATGTGTTTTTCACAAGCAGTGCCGGTTTCCAGCTCCGGAACACCGTGTACCACCATAGAGGTGGAAGGCATCAGTTCCGGTGACTCCCTCGCCATATTTCTGACAGCCCATGGTCTATCTTGCCGCGCTCTTATGTTAGAACTTCTGTCCAGGGCTAGTACCTGAGCCATTAACAGTACTTTTTCGGCCTCTTCGGCAGAGTCCAGTGTAACCCGTAATGGGGGTGGCTTACCCTGAGGCGTGTGGACACCCCTGTACAGTCTGCACAGTTTTGCTGAACTAATGTTCAGACCTAGTTTGCCGCACAGGTTGGACCACTGTTCCTGATCAAACAGGGCCCGTTGTTCGAGCAAGCTATCCGTGCTCACAGGTACGTTAAAGAGGATGAGAGAGTTAGACCGACTACCCTCAGACTTAGGTTTTGCCTTCGGCTTCTTGCAGTCCTTTGCATCATTAGCAACATTAGGCTTCATCGGTACCTGGACAGCCTTTTTTGTGTTGCCAGGCTTGCTAGTGGATGCAAGTGGTGCCTTTGTAATTTTGCCTTCCCCTGATGTGGATGGAACCTTGCTAATCTTCACCTTGTGAGAATTGGCATTTCCAGTCAGTAGGGCTGGTGTGTCCTTCTTTAAGTCTTTGACCAGTTTCGGCAGTGCGAGTTTAGCAGGGGGGAGCTGCATGATACTGTGTTGGGGCACAAGAGCGTGTTATTTCTGCTATCCGCAGACACGCTTTGTGGGACTATGCCAGGGCGACAAAGTGGACACACGTACCAAAACCATGGGCATGGGTTATTTCTCATAAACTCATAGTATGCTTTCGGTACTTCTTTGTCACAACGGCAGTGCACCCATCGTTTGCAAAAATTACATTCAAACGCTGAATCAGTTTTAGAAACTGTGATGCTGCACGCCTGGCATTCATCCCCTTTCCTTGATGACGCCTTCGAGGTCTTATGACGTCTTGAACGTTTCCTTTTAGGCTTGATGTGTTTCACACACTGGCCTACAGTTGATGCAGGTGTAGAATTCTGTCCTTCTGGTATTGCCTGTGCCGTTTCAGTACTAGACTGTGGCAATGCAGGCGTTGTATCAGGGCAGACTAAAGCTACACGAGTCTTTAGGATCGGTATGCGGGAAGGGGT